TTTTTCTAAGGCCTTAAGGTTGTTTAGTTCACTAGACTTGAAGTGAACTAAATAAAAATCATTAGAAATCCCGTTGCGCGAATCGCCAGGACGGGATTTCATTTTCATTTTGATTACTTGGAGTGGCACAACTCCAAGTAATTTTGCCAGTTCATCTTTGATCTGATCCAGGGATTCACCACTGGGCAGTCCTTTCATGACAACCTTGAACACACGTTCAGTTTTGGTGTCGTAAGTAAAAAATTTGTGCTTCTTCTCAGTAAGATACTTGAGAAGACATTTAAATCCGTCCAAGGTTTCAGCCAATACACGGCATTCACCCCGACGTCCAATTTGTAGTGAAAACTTAACTTTTTCACGAAATTCAAAAGTTCCATGCGAAGAGCATGGAAATCGGTAGTGGTTATCACAATAGGGGGAATCTTTTCCTTCTTGGCATTAAGCCGGGAAAGTTTACTAGAATTTTTCTTGGATGATGGATCATTCTCATCATCCGTGAGCAAATCAAATTGATTACTCAAATTAATTTCTTCAGAAGGGGGGTCAAGAGTTTGCCCCTTTCTTTTGCGTTTAGGCGCCATGGCGGCAGTAAATTTTTTATCCAAATCGACTTCCAAGCAGATTACTATAAGAATCTGAAGGATCGAAGAGGAATTTTCCAAATCGATATCCAAGAAGGATTACCTCGGGTAGGGTCCAAACAAGGATCGAAGAGGAATAAGAGGAGTTGAACAAGGTAGAAAATTTTTACAGGTTGAGCACTGAAAAGTGCTGTTTAAATTTGTTGTAGCTTTAGGTAGTAGTAACACTTCCTTAAGCAAAAAGCAAATAGATCCGCACGGCAAGAGAGCACGATGCGGACTGTCGATGAGCGCATTTATCAACAGCTCCGGTCGACCATACAGCAAACGAAGCGTTTCTATTATATGGGGAACAGATTCGGGGAGAAGAAAGCGACTGCGAACCGCTTCCAGGGCAGGACCTTTCAGAGAGCGTTGCAGTCTCATTAAATTTTCAGCGGGGCTATAGCTACATGCCAACGTAGAGGTCATAAAACTACTGATAAATACTGGCCAATCAGCTGGACTGCCAGAAAAGGTTGGAAGGTCCCGGGGCATTACTAGTCTCGCCGCTAATTGTGACGGCGAGGATGTAAATATGTTAATATTGGTCGGGAGGTTCAAATTTTCGGTAGAGCCGAGTCTAAATTGTTTGGTAAGTTGCTCAAGGGCAGCGATATCGTTCGTTTTGGTCTCTTCATTAGCATTTACTAGTAGTGAAGGATGGTTGAATTTACCTGGACGTGGCGGCTTAGGGTCTAAAGTGTTACCTGTCTTGGGGGGGGGGGGATTGTTGTTGTTGTTGTTGTTGTTGTTATGATTCAATTTGGGTGTTGAATTCTGATGGCCGTTGAGAAACTGGAGCAACGACTTCGGTAGTACTGGCTTCGGGGCTACTTGCTTCGGAATGGACCCTTTCTATTTTTCTGCATCGGAACGGTTCCTTTCGTTGGTGGAACAACTACTGCTGCTCCTTCCTCCTTATCGGGTATCGCGTCAACCTACTCTTGAGCTTTGTTCCGACTTGCTCTGTCACTCGTACGGCTCCGAACACTAGCACCATCTTGTTCTTCTTCCAAAACTGTTTCAAGGCAAGCATACTTTCGCTCCAGAAATGTCTTCTCCAAATCTTACTGGTCCTTTAGCTTTCTCAATTTCATGTCGTGCTCCTCCTGCATCTTCTTCAGCACCAACAACATCCGTCTAGACTTCGTGGTGGACACCGACGTTACCGATCCGGCGCAACTTGGGACGTGAACACACTTGCTGCAACTCCACGAACGATTCTCCACCGAACTTGTCACCCCGGCGCATGTCATGTGCCACCAAGCGTTGCATTGGTCGCACTGCACGAAGTTATCGGTGGAATCCGGACGATCGCAATAAACACAGTTGCTTTCTTCCGCCGGTGGCGTTTCATTCGGGTCCATCGCGACGAAATTTCTAGAAGAAATGTTCCTACTAGGGGTTCTTTTTTGGTTCGACCGCTTCCATTAGCAGGCACAGGTTATGTTTGTGTGGGGCAAGCTTCTAGCTGCAAGTAGATTTTTTATTGTTTGCAACAAATTCACTATATATAAGTTTAAATAGATTAACTTACAAATTTCGATCTTCCAATTAGTTTTAAGTAGAACAATTTTAGGTAGAAACAAATTTAGAATAACAAATTTTGATTTGAAACAAATTTATTAAATTTTGCAACTGTTCAACGCCGTCTTTCTCACTCGCTGCTCGCTGCCGGCGTTGGACATACTGGCGCTGTGGTTGCGACGCTGAGGCAGTGCACCCAGTTTACAACACATGGAATCCAGTGTTCAAGCTGCCAACATAGGCTAGTCATTCTACTGTATTGTCAAAAATAGAAGCAAAATTTATTCAAATGGGTCAAGTCTTGAAAACTAAGCTGTCACGCAGCTCCAGCTTGATACCCAATAAAAAAATAAGCCATGGATTTTGTAATTATTATTGATTTCAGTAGCAAAAACAGTCGCCTAGTCCTACGTCAATAATGCGAGCGTGCCTTAGACACACTCCATAACGTTTTTTTTTTAGAAAAAATGCATTTTTTTCCACCATTTTTTTTTTTTACTTTTGCTCATTTGCAGTCATAATAAAGATCTTTCATGTGCCGCTAATTTTACTAAAATTCGTTTATTACGTTCTACCACTCTGAAAGTACAATTTTATGAGAGCGAGCGGGTATTCTTCTTTTTAATAAGGGCAGTTCTTCCGAGATTTTCCATTCTTATAAATCGGTCTGAGAAAGGATTCAAAAGTTTAACTAGAATTATTTTTACTTCTTTTCAAAGCAGTTTGTTCTTTGCTTGGATTTTATTGCATCAAAATTTAAAAATCCATGGAAACTATTCCCAGAATTGCACAACTTTGTGATTGCTATACGTAGGTGATTTATTATTTCAACCGATGCTTGGATTTGGAAAAGTCATGCGTCTTATATTTATTTCAAACCGTTTATTACTCGATATACTATGTTTCGATATTCCTCCCTATCTCGATTATTTGAGCAGTTCCTTTGAATTCCCATACATCCAGGAGCCTCATTACACCAGTCGAAACGAAGCATCGTTCCAACAATCAATACGAAACTAACGATTTTAAATTGGCTCACTACTTGACTAGCCTATTGGTCCCAAGCAAATCGATTACGTCCCCCATTCTAGTACTACACTATGTTTGTTTTGATTCGCTATGAAAGTTTGAAAGATAAAATGAGAGGTTCGTGGATTTTCCTATGTTTCGATGGGTGCATCGATTAGATTGGGACCGAAGATAGTACCAGCACTGAGCCAAAAAGTTGAGCTCGTTTCTTCGGGACCTTCCGATCTTAGAGTTACCTGTATGATCGTTCTCTATGTCGATGGTCCCTAGAAAATATTCTGGAATACATTACCCTCCATTTGTCGATGAAAAATCTAGTTCACTTGTTTTTTCTACTGTTGAAGTAAGCGATCGAGCTTTGCTTTGGATAGGCGAAAGTTGGTAAATATGGACACAGTAGAAAAGATGGACACGCACTGCTTTAAATCGAAACATCTTTTTAAATAAATATAGAACTACAGCCTTTAACATGAACTAAATGATGTGGGTTGTTTATTTAAAAAGCATGTCACGCTGAATTTATTCTATAAAGATTTTTTAGATTTAAAGCAGCAAAGTTGACATATTTCCTGCTTTGTCCATTAGTGTGGTTCAAAAAATCAATTTTGATCCACCACGCTCTATCGTTTCTAAATCAGGTCTGGCACTGGCCCTTTGAAATTTATATGGGAATTACTACAAGTGAACTTTATATTCACAACGTTCTCGTAATTCGCCATAACGATTTACGTAAAAGCTGGCTATCTGCTCTTATGTAAAAAAAAAATCAACTGCAACTTTGTTGAATACCACTTTTTGATTAGACTTCAAGGTAATTATTTATTATTTGATTTCAAAGACTATAACTTTCTGAAATGATTTATCGACTGCTTTCAGGGCAACACTGCACGTATGACATAGTAGCCTGGTAGTTGCTACTGTACCCCTACCTAACCCGTGTCCCCTCGAGATCGTCAAGTCGACGATGACAGGAGCACATATCGTGGTAGGGGTAAACAATAGTTGCAATTTCCAAACCTACGACTGGATGCCTTCCTTCAAATAACAATTGAAGTGCGATAAAAATCGGTAGAACTGTTTCAAACACACAGTTGGTACTTGAACGGGTCGGTTTTCATCTCTTTTTGCCAGTGGTGGCGGGGGGGGGGGACACCCCTCACCATCCCTCTCCAAAGGGGGAGTTTGGTAAAGAGAGATGAAAAAACCGATTTGTACCTTCCTAAAGAAGTTGTCCTAGTTCGCTATTCTAATATCTATATACAATCTTCACACTGCCGTACTCTAACGGAACTATCAACTCTATGCTTTCATCTACTCCATCTATCGTATAAAAATTACCACTACAGTCTGTTATTTGAAATTAGCATCTTCAACTATGTAAATCGTTGACTTCACGTAGAAGTAATACTAAAAACATATAGTCAAAGAACTTGCAAGTGTTATGTCTGTTTGTCTGTGCAAATACCATAAACGAACTTTATCCCGGATGGGTAAACTATCCCACAAATGGTTTGGATGATACCTCGAATACGTCGTTAAGCTCTCTTTTATGGTTATTTTTATTAGGGAGTGCTTCTAGAATCGTTCTAACTGTTCTGAATGTCGATCTCTCCCTATCTCAATATCGAGAAATGGAAAGTTTGTCAGGAATTTCAGTTGAACGAGGAGAGTGGTGGGATTGGTATGTTTTCTAATGTCTAACAAAAGTAGCTTCCTGTATTAACCTCAATCACTCAAGTAGTATGCACAAACGTATTCCAGATTAATCATTCTAATGAAGCAATTTTCTTCTTTCTTCCGGAACAAAAAATCAACCCGAAGATGATTTTGTAGGTATCATTCAGCAAAGCCAACGTTCCAGCGGATCTGTGCAGCCAGGATTAATAAAAATCGAGCCACAGTTGCCCAGTGCACAGAAAGTGCTTCTCATCAATCAAACCAGCGGGCAGCAGGGACCGACCGCCAACGTCATCACTAAACCGCTATTTGTTGGAGGCAGCAGTACTGGAAGTATTAGTTCACAAGCTGCCCCACCTCCGGAGTTGGATGACCTATCGCATCTGGCGTAGGAGGTAAGGTGCACATTTCTGAATGGTAGTTTTAAGTAATTTGATGGCAAAATTTATCAAGTTTATTCTTGTATTAGAATAAAGGATGGTCTAGGAGTAATGTGTATAGGATACAAATTCGAAGAGAGTTGTTGATCATCCGAAATCCATTCAATCTCTGGAATGTTGGAATAATCGTTTTTTTCCTCCGTGTAGCACAGATGACAAGTCGAGCGAAGACATTATATCAAGAAGACTGGCAACTTTGTCAGAATCTTAGCAGCAGATACAGCAACGCTGCGTTTGAGCAAGCGTGGAAGCAACGCATTGAAACATGAGCAAATACACAAACCTATCTTCTGAGGTTGGAATTCTTGCTATCGAATTCGTTCGGAGTATTTACCTCTGAGCGGTAGATGACGCTATTGTGCCTACCCAACAAACAATTTGAGGTGATTAAAGGCTGTGTAAGCCATTTTTTAACTGCAGAAGCATATTGTTGCCTGAATAAGCTCTTATTCTGCTTGCAATGTTTCTTGAGCGGTCGTATAAGAAAATTTGAGAGTAGTCAGTCTTCTTGATATGCAGACTTCATGTCGAATTTTGAATCAAAATGTGTTTTCTCAACGACTAGGAGATTTTTTTTTCGTGGTGCAAATCTACCAGGGAAATCTGAAATCCCTAGAAAAAGTTATAAATTCACCTGGAAAAACTGAGAAAAGAGTGAATAATTTTAACAGTTTACAAGGAAAATCGCCTTTTAACAAAACATTTGAAATAAGATCCTTTGTGATAAGTGTTTAATTTAAAAACACCCTATTTTAAGGTTTGCATTTTCAAAATACAGCAAATCAAGATAATTCATTAGCGGCGCCGGTGGTGTAGTGGTAAGCGTGATTACCTCTCATCCCAAATGGCCTGGGTTCAATCCCAACATCTCTGATCACGCCTTCCTTCGGAAGGGAAGTAAAGCCGTTGGTCCCCGGTTCCATGAGTTGATGGGTCGATAGATAGGTAGGGTAAATATGTGTGAGCTTGCCTCCCTGGCGTTGGTAGCATTGGTACTCAGTACGGAAATCAAAGAAAAAAAAAAGATAATTCATTCACAGCACGGCAAAATTTCACTTCTTATGCAATCGTAGCTATTGTAAAACGCAAGACCCTATGTGAAGAGAGCTAAATAATCTTCAAGATCGTCCCTCTTGTTTTGAGTTGTCATCAGTTGCATTGCATAACTGCATCGTGGAACTATTAACTAAACTTGTTTGTCTTTTATTTGCAGAAACCGTAATAAATAGTTTGACCTATTCCATTAACCAGCCGCAAGCGCTTTAAACAGCGTGAAAAGTGTAAACTACAACATGACCTATTGGAAGCAAATACAATATTAGATAGCGTAAGGCAAAAGCTGTAAATGTTCACATTCTAATAGATAAACACGTGGACTTTTTTGTGGAAGGAACTTGGTAAATTTCACATAATAGGTAGTTGATGAAAGTTGAACGTTGAGAGTTTCCTAGGTTGATTTATTGAAAGCTCCAATCCCGTGATATGGAGAATATTCTTATCTTTGAGGCTGTTGCATCCCACTGAAAATGCTTAGGTGCGTATACTGTTTCCTCATTTATTCGGAATTTGGCAGTTACTAATGAAAGAAAGAAATGAGTTATAAGCAAAATTATAATAATCACACATGCTTAAAAAATTACCTAGTAGTTCCAAAAAGTTATTTAACGTGTCTTGGTTGCGTTCTGTGCACGACAAAACGAACTTACACTGATTGTTCGTAAGTGTGAACACGTAGTTGATTGCGGTGAATAAGGGTTGAAACAGAGCCGGGTCGTATACTATATCCGCACCGACAAGTACATCTGGTTCAATCAATTGATTGATATTCGATGCATTGATATAGCTCCAGTCGAGATCCATCACACCGACTATTGAATCTCCATTATCGACCAAACATTTCACTAGTGGGTTATCAGTCTCGACCTTTGCGCCCTTGGGAAAGTTCATCTCAACGTTTTGCTTCAATGTGCCAATCACTGAGCCATGGCAATCGGATAGGATTATCATGGATGGTTCACAGTGTTTTGCCATGAATATTCCAGTCAGTCCGACTCCTGAACCAAGTTCTAATATATTTTTGCCGTGGAATTCTTCGGGGTTGTTGGTAATAAACTCACATAATGCTTTCGATGCTTGCCAACTACATAAACCCGTTGTTCCCTCCGATATGAATGCAGATGATTCCTTCAAAGTAATCACATCATTGCCAGGTAATTCGTAATGTTTGAAGCTGAATCCAGCTTGGTCCTCCATTCCTGATTGAGTTAGTAAACTACAATACCTCTCGTAAAGCTGATCGTGCTGTTCTACGTTCATCTTGTTCAGATGGTGTATAATATGCTTTAAAAATGCTATCTGGTATGCTACTTTCAAAGGATATTGAACCACGAGCGGATTATTCACCGTGATGTCTAATAACTTTTCTTGATCTTCCCAGCTGATGTCGTCTAGAAGGCCCTAAAAGAAGAAGAAGACAATTGTTACGAAAAGCTGCTCCTCGGTCACCAAAGGTCTACTCACGTGCCAATATATTTGATTAATAGGCGTACCACACAAAAAGTTCTGTCTAACTAGTGCTAGGGCATCATCAGAGCGCATGGTTTTATTTTTACATTTCTGAAACATTGCTGCTGGCGCGCTGCACCACTAGAAGTTTATGTCGATGACTGTGGCAATGGATGCCTCTCAAAGATCTGGCACAGGAGCTGGATTGCACAATGTAATTATTCCGATCGTGATAGGAATTCATATCCGACCGAGTAGCCCAAGCTTGTCTTATTACTAGTTGGAAAAGAAAATTGAACGCAATTTATACGTTCCTCAAACAATGCTAAATGTCAAACTACGACTCCACACAAATATTTGGATTTTAATTAATTGTCCATTTTTTATGGCAATTAAAAGGCAAGTTTATTTATAATTCTTGTTATTACAAGTGTTTTCATTCGAACGAGATTTTTTTTCTTTCAAGTACTTTATTATTAAATGAATTTTCGCGCAGAAGCGTGGTATTTACGTTGTCAAAATATTTTGCCACCAGATGATATACTGAGAAAATCTCCTATATCTCGCGTCACTTTTCAAATAGACCAATGTAACAAATATAAACAAATCGAGTTAAGCGATACAAACTATTGCTCTTCTGCCATTGTATGTGATACAAAAACATCCATCCAAATTTACTTTCATTTATTTAAGATAATCATTGATCAAAAATTGTCCAATGTACAGTTTGAAATGATGGGTGAATGATTGTTACTTCGGTCATTCGGACTGCCTAACATGATTGGTGCTCATTTTCTAAAGGCGGGGCCAATCTAAAGTTAGGTACTATACTCTGAAATCTGTGAAAGGGAATCCAGTATCATGTAGACAAAACGTCCAATGTAACACTCATTGATTATGTCATTGAGAAAAATCGTCCAATGTAACATGTCCGATGTACAACTTGACTTGTCAAAACGTCCTATGTGATTTTTTCTATGTTGTAGCATGAAATTCAAAGTAAAATTGTGATTTTACCGTTTCTTCTGAATTTTCAACGTTATTATATGCTGACTACATTAAAAATAGTAATGCAAAATGTATTGTTTTTAAACAGTTAAAATAATAATGTGTCGAACTTCAACTTCGATTTTCTCAAAATGGTGGATATGTTACATTGGTCTATTTGAAAAGTGACGCGAGATATGTTATTTGGTTTACGTCTGCCTTCGCACTAACTAGTTTGTATCTTTGTATGCATACAGATCGATTTGACAGTACTGTATGTCAGGATTTTCGTTTGAATTCACCACGACCAAGAGCAACAGCAAACAGCATCATAATTAGGTTTTGCACCGTCGGGGTTAACCTCAATCTGATGACAGTTTAGTGGTACTGTTTACGTGGACTTAGCCGATTTTTTCTTGGGTGGATTTTCTCGATAATTTTTCAGACTGCAGTGAGATGTAAACCACATTTCTGCAATGTTCACGAGCAACATCCTTGCAATGCGCTGTTCCTCGACAATTTTCAAGTTAAAATTCGGAAATTTTAGAATTTTTTTTCGAAAAAACGACTAAGTGCTTGTAAACAGTACATCTGAACTGTCAAAAAGGTTCAGCCGATTAACACTGAGTTCATTCGTGACGTCACGCTGCAGAACCTAATTAGGTTTTGCACCGTCGGGGTTAACCTCAATCTGATGACAGTTTAGTGGTACTGTTTACGTGGACTTAGCCGATTTTTTCTTGGGTGGATTTTCTCGATAATTTTTCAGACTGCAGTGAGATGCAAACCACACTTCTGCAATGTCCACGAGCAACATCCTTGCAATGCGCTGTTCCTCGACAATTTTCAAGTTAAAATTCGGAAATTTTAGAATTTTTTTTTTTGAAAAAACGACTAAGTGCTTGTAAACAGTACCCCTGAACTGTCAAAAAGGTTCAGCCGATTAACACTGAGTTCATTCGTGACGTCACGCTGCAGAACCTAATAGCAGCCAAATTAGGGTGACTATATGAAATCGATGTGTTGGGAACCATGATTGAATTCTAAAACACAACCGAGCACATAACTGGAGGGAGAACTAAAGTATTTTTTAATGTTTTAGCAATGTAGAATAAGAATGGGTTTTAAATTCTATGCTTGTATGAAAAACATGCTTTAAGAGGAAGTTCACCGCCCCAAAAATAATTTTTTTCGGTTCGTTTTTAATTTAATTAAAAAATGGGAAAAATTATAAAAATTCCAACGAAATCCGATTTTTCCTTAGATTCTTGAATTCTAGAGTTTACATGTAACAATATTTTTTCTATGTCATCATGAAGAATTCAGTGCTAACATTTGAAAACGGCACAAAAGCCATTTGTAAACAAATGGTTTGTGGGCCCTTTACTCACTACTTGAAGTACACCCACGCGACACAACAGCAACATCGGGTAGGGGAAATTTTCCCCTTCCTGACGATGCTGTTGGTTTGCGTGGGCGTTCTTCGGGTAGCGAGTAAAGGGCCCACAAACCATTTGTTTACAAATGACTTTTGCGCCGTTTTCAAATGTTAGCACTGAATTGAATCCTCAGCAAAACCGAAAGGTCGGTGTTTTGTGGTTTTTTGAGTTCAACTTTGTGCCATGATCAGGGCTCTACAATTTCGAAGCTCTAAAATGAACTCGTGTTTTGTTTCTCTCATACGTACGTGTTCGACGCTTCATTTATATAACGCCTAGCTAGACTATCAGCAAGAAACGAAAATAAAAAAGCAGGACGCTTAGAAGGAAAGGCTGGCTGTGGAACTTCTCGTCGTTGCTTTGCTCATCGCTTTCAATGTAACTAACGTCGATTTTCTAGTTAAACGAAACCTCATTATGGCTTTCAATCCCCTTTCACGAACACTCTATCACCGCTCTTTCAATTTGTTTAAAATGCGTTATGTCCCGTTTTCGATCATTTTTTTTGATAAATATATATATATAGATGGAAGATAAATTAAAAATATGACGTGTAATCTTCAAGTGTTTTGACGTGAGAAATGCTTTAAATGTGTTATTTCATTTTCCGTCATATACGTCATGAAACCTCTGTTGATGTGTTTCATGAAAGAGAAAACTATCCAAGTCGAGCGCTCTTTCGCTCATCCGTTTCGACGAAGTTCGAAAGCAAGACCAATGGAGCGACGGGAGAAAGAGAGACAAGCGATTGAACATTTGTTTGTGCACGCCGACTGAGGTTCTAGAATGCTGCGAAGCTGTTCGACTTTAACAGAAAAAGAAAGCCAGAACTGGCCCAGAAGTCTCTTCGTCGCATCGATTTGGTCGATTGAAGCTGATATTATGACGCCCTGGCCATGATGACTTACAAAAAATGTTTTTGCATGTGATTTTTTTTTAATTTGAAAAAAAAAATGATTGTTTTAGATTTTTGATGTCTTTTTCCAATATTTTTAGAAAATCAAACGTTTTTTTTCGGAGTGGTGAACTTCCCCTCAATACTATGTTCAAACCACAGAGTTATACCAACCGGTAGAAACCTGAGTACTGTGAACCCAGCCGATTTTATTTTTCAAGTGAGCTAGAAAACATCTTGAAAATTTTCCGAAGTTTCAAATTGTTTTGCTGAAACAGCTCACGAAATTGTATATACATGCTGTCAAATGAACTCTTGGCTCCTCCTCCTCTGCTCCAGAAATAACGTATACATGGTGATGGGAGTGCACCTGCCATAAAGCTCACATGACTCTTATAAAGTTTGATTACATTCTTGTTTCAGCAACCCAGTTTTGGCATTAATATCAAATAAAAACACTTTTTCGAGCATCACGCTCGATGATTTACATTATCCGCCTACTAAGGTTGATGTTTCGACAGTTTCATAATTATAATTCTTAATTTGTTTTCAGTAGGTGGCAACACCTTTACTTGTGGTTCAAAAAGTAACTACCTACGTGAATTCTGAGCTCTTGTGGTATAACGGTAGTACAATCACAAACGAAGTGACAGACGGAGCGGCTCGAAAACTTTGGTGACTAACCTGCTATTGCAATTTTTCAGTGTACCACATGGCAACACCACTACTACTGGATTGTACCACATGGCAACACTACTACTGGATTGAACTAGCAATTTCACCAAATGTACTAGAATGTTTTGGTTCTATCTCTTTCACTCTACTCAAAACTGAAATGCATAAAAAAATGACAAAATGATACGCACTCTTTGCACACTGTCAAAGAATCATTGTACACAAAATCAACTTTGTGCAAAACCAAAACAAAAATACTATCCCATCTGGTGGATGATGGCAGAAGCTTCTAAGAAAATTCTATTACAGTGAACCACATTATTTTAATTGATTTCTTCGCCAGTTAGTCGTCTGTCACTTCGTTTGTGGTACAATCATGTACATACGTCGGGTGGGACTTATTTTTCAAAATCGATCGGGGACATGTTTTCCCATGTGGTAAATGATTATTGGGACTTATTAAGTAACATATAAAAGTTTGGATTTTTCGTTGACATTTAGAGGTGGCACAAAAGGTTGAAGTCCAAAATTTTGCCCATTTTGCGATATCTTCACTCGTTCTCGAGAAATATGGCATAGTGATGTTTCCGCATATGGGCTTCCGCTTACATATTGCTATATCGCAAGTATGCAGTACAATATGCAGCATGAGTAAATATGAGAATAAGAGAGAATAAAAGAAAGTGGAAGAGAAAGAGAGATAGAAAATCTGAAAAACGAGGGAAATGGTAAACTCTCTCTCTAAATAGAAATTCAAGCGAACAACTTCTTATTCTTTCCTTTATTTAACGTCGGTCTCTGTTCCTGCAATCTAGTGCCAATCACCGACGGACATCGATTGCCATCCATTGACACCTGCGTAGGAGGATATCGCACCCATTCAACAACACACATGGGCCGGGACCAACGGCTTTACTTCCCTTCCGAAGGAAGACGTGACCAGAGATTTTTATGCCTCAGAAAAATCCCACCGACCTCGACTGGGATTGAACCCAGACCCACTGGGGTGTTAGAAAGCAGTCACGCTTACCACTACACCACCGGCGCCTGCTCAAGCGAAGGATTTCGAGTTATGGTAGTACCTAAATGTGCATGGGAAATGTGGTCGAAGGAGCCTAGATACCGTCTGTGGGATAAGTTGACTGTATTTGAAATGTGATCTGATTACAGCGTTGAGTATTAGGAATACATATCAATAATTCGACAGTGAGCATGCATAAGGGCGTAAACGCGATGATTGATTCTCTTCATCGATTTTCTCTTTTAGTAATAACTCGCTTGGATTAACGTTTCTCGGTGCGTTTGATGGTGATTTTGATTGCCAATACAACCTGTTACAGCACTACATTGAACAAATTCTAGAAAATTGTTTCGCTTAGCTGTAGCAATGCAAAGAGAAAACCGATGAAAATAATCGACCATCGCGTATAGGCTCTTACGCATGCTCACTAGACTGATGCAAAATTTGAAATTTTCGCTCCACAGTGCTCAAGTGGATCCAAATTGGGCCTTGATTAGCCTCCAAAAATTTAAACTCATTTAGTGAGAAACTGACTTG